TATCCATTTATGACCATTATTGACCATTTATGACCATAAATGGATACAACTCCAAAACGCAGCTGAATTAGCCTTGAATTAACCCTTTTTTCCCTTCTACATTGTCTCAATTCTGAGGTACTTTGTTCACAAATTTATTTATATGTTGCTTTGTATCTTCTCTCCAAAAGCAGGTTCTAACATCCGTTTGTATCTCCTTCCCCCCCCCCCCGGTGCCTAATATAATGCATTGTGTGGACAGTAGGCATTCAGTAAAGGATGATTGTCAAAGAGAACAGCTATGTAGTTTTCTCAAATTTATAAGAGGAAAAGACAGTTTTAAAAAATATCCAGAAAAAAGAGTCTGCAATATTGCAATAATTGCAAAAATTACTTCAAAGGCAAAAGAGAAACATTCTAACAAAACAGTGGTTTTTCAAAAGTTGATATGCTATCAGGATTGTAACAGAATTGGTAAAGCTTTCTTAAAACATCCCTCTGTATTAAGTTTTTCCACCTTTTCTCACATTTATTTTGTTCTTTTTTAAGAGGCAAATGAGAAGACCAAATCTCTTTAGTTAAAGACTTTTCTAACCACAAGGTGGAAGCGCTGCTCTGGGAGTTCTCTGCAGGCATCCTTTAATGGTAGGTAGACCTTTAATGGGACAGAACACTCTCCCTGGGAGAGCTTGCTGGGCTAGAGAGCAAAGACGTGATGGGAGTTCTGCTCTTGCTTGTTTAAACACAAACTTCCCATCTTGGTCCTGAAATCCTTCAGTATTCATCCTTTAAAACTTCATGTCCGTGGTCCATAAGGGAAAACAATTTTTATTTTTTTAAAGATTTTATTTATGTGACAGAGAGAGACACAGCGAGAGAGGGAACACAAGCAGGGGGAGTGGGAAAGGGAGAAGCAGGCCTCCCGCCGAGCAGGGAGCCCGATGCGGGACTCGATCCCAGGACCCTGGGATCATGACCTGAGCCGAAGGCAGACGCTTAACGACTGAGCTACCCAGGCGCCCAAGGGAAAACAATTTTTAAATTAACTTTGACTTAAGTAAGTGTTATTTCAGCATAAACTCTGGGAAATGTTTAATGAATGTGTTAAGGTGTAGCAATTACCTGTGTAAACTGGTACCTCTAAAATTTGAGGTTCCAGTCTTTAAATCGTTTGCTTTTCTTTCATTATAAAAAATAGAAAACTTTTCAAAAATGAAGTCGGAAAAAAACCCCCACATAATTCTGTCATCCAAAAAAATGGACTAATTACTTGTTTTACTTCTTTTCCCTATTCTAATATGTTAAAATTTAGTTCATTTTAAAATTGTACCTTTTGGGGGGAGTAGGGAGGAATGGACCCTCTAAAGAACTGCAAATATTGAAGTCTAGCTAAAATGTTCCATTTAACTTCTGCCAAAGGGGTTCCTACATATAATGAATTCTCTTGAAAATAGAAAACCTTTTCCCACTTACTAAGTTGAGATATTCATCATTTTTTAGAAATTGGTACCTCTAAATTAGCCATTTTGTACTCAGCCATGTCTCATTTAAACTGTTGTATACATGTTTCAGAGGGCAACCTTGAGTCTGTCCTTGGCTGGAAATTTGACATCAGGGGTTACAGTGATGAGGGCTAGCGGCTGTTAATTTTCCAATTCTTACAGAAGGCAAATCTTGGTTTATAACTACGTTCTGTGTTTCAAAAAATCCACAAAATTTATTACTTGGGACAAAAGCCTTCTCCCTGTACCAGCATTTTCCAAAATGTATTTGGTAATCAAGGAATGTAAGTTCAGAGGGATGGTACTAGGCTAAACTATTTAAGGAAATGGTTCTCTGGCTTATGTTTGGAAAATCCATTTCTTTCCTGCATGATTTTTCAGAGCCTTTACTACATTAAATGTGCATTCTGAAGTTTGCAGTTTTGTTTTTTTTAATCAGAAGGCACATTTTTCATCCATCATCTGCCCCATGGTACAAAGTGATTTAGAATATAACATATATAATAGGTTGGGTATTTATCATAACTGTCCTGGAGTGACTGGGTTTTGAAGAGTTGTTGCAATATTATTGCCTCATAAAACAATAATTAAATTTGGTCTTGTCCAGGCTTTATTTGGTGGTAATCAGTTCTGTCTAGTTATGTAGACTTTGTTACATTTGCATATTTGTTTTTAAGGTAATGGTAATGGAAGGAAACCGTATTCATTGCTTACATGAATATTCTTATTAAGAATCAGGAGGGGTGCCTGGGTGGCTCAGTTGGTTAAGTGTCTGCCTTTAGCTCAGGTTGTAATCTGGGGGTCGTGGGATTGAGCCCTGCATCAGGCTCCCTGCTGGGCAGGGAGCCTGCTTCTCCCTCTCCCTCTGTCTACCCCCTGGGCTCGTGTACACTCTCTCAAATAAATAATAAAATCTTAAAAAAAAAAACAGGAATATTCTAAATTCAGAGGTTGTCATGGCCCCTACCCAATAAACTTTGTCTTAGACAATTTGTGCAAGTTCTTAATCATAGTACAGAAAAAAGTCACTGAGAAAACTTATAAATCAGCTGTGAAACATCTATAAAAGGCTGTGGAGCAGTTCATATGCTAAATAGGATAAGATGTTTTGTGGCCAGTAGAGTATCTGCTTATTAGTGATAGAATGTAAAGTCTCTAACGACGTCTAACTCTTTCCCTAAACTTCTACTTTAGGTATCGTGAGGTGGTTTGTTTTTGTTGTTGCTTTTTTTTTTTTTGGCTCTTCAATAATCATTTTCTCCCCCTTCCCCCATCTAAAGTCATGAGGAAGATATAAGGATCTGTCATAAAATAGACAACTGTATTGTTACTGTAGAATAAAAACCAAACTTCTTAATAAGCAATTTATTATGAGACGATATGCTGTGCTCATTTTTTCTGGATTCCCTAGGAAAGGTATTTCCAATCCAGTATCAGATATTTTTACTTTCTAAAGCTAGAGGTAACTTATTATAACAATTTTAAAAACATTACAAATGCAAATTCACTTCGGGAATAAAACACAACATTGATTTCTTAGACTTTAAAAAATGCTAAGAGGCTTTTAATACTTCTGCTCTGAATGTGATAATTAAGTACCAAAATCAAACTGACACTTACTTGTGGGGACTTAACATTTCTCTAAAATACTCCCTTCCATTTAGATTCACTCATGTTAACATTTATCATAATTTAGATAGGTACATAAAAAGCTGTGTTAGTTCAGGAGATGCCTTAACTATTATTAATGCTCATTCCACCTAGCCAGTGTTTCAGTTTTCAGGTCAATTCTGTTTGTATCTGAGACAAAAGACGTGGTCTTTAATAAGGTATATTCTGCTGTTTTCAAAATATTTATGTCACCTAGTGTTAGTTATCCTTTCTCTGCCTGGGCAAGTACCAAAAAGGACATCAAAATAATGGCATCTTAAACTGCTGCTTTTGATAGTCACAGAATCAGTCAAGCAGGGGCCTTCATTTAACAGGTAAGGAAACAATGTGGGGTGGGTTTGAACTCAGCAGTCTTGCCTTCTAATTAAAATCTTACTCCTGCATTCTGTCGTCTTTTCTCTATCTTGTAACCCTTTACCATGTTGTTTCCTCCATAAAAGGAATTATACCTGAACTCAGGACCTGAGGAGCATAACCACCAGTCTAAGAGGGTAAGATGTCATGCATGGATATTTGGGGCTCTGGTCTGAGTACAGTTGGAAGTACATGGTGGCTTCTCCCTTTGGACACTTAACTTGGATAGTGGAGATTCAATCATACTAAACCCTCACTACAAAGTTTACTTCTGAGCACTTTGCTGCAAAATACGTACCCTGAACATGCTCTGTATTAAATTCAGGTTTGGTTTAGATTTGGTTTGGAGATTGCTTTACTTGTCTCTAAATGATTTGAAGTTTGATAAAATTTCTGATTTTAAAAATATTATTTCCTTAAGGAGTTTACATTAAGGCTCATGAACCAGTTCAGATTTCGGTTCATGTCCCTTTGAAAATTTGTATCTTAGAAAAGTTAGGACTCAGAATGTCTGACTGAAAAATAAGGCTTGATGGTAAATCGAGTTTATGTGCTTTGTAGCATACCGAAATCATTTCTGTAATATTGATACATACTTTCAAGTACATAATAAATTACTGTTTATTTAAATAAAAATCCAGATATTCAAGTTATTACCAGATTTTATAAGAGATAAAAAGACTACAAATTCTGTTTAGATGAACAAGTATGATTGGCACAGGAATAGCTCCTAAATGCCCAGGTATCTCCCACTCATTTGTGGTTCTCATGCATTCATCACATACCAAGCACAGCATAGCTTTGTTTTCAGATCCTAGAGAACTTTCAATTTAAAGAACCAAGGCAACTCATATTCCATGAGCAATGCATAGCACTTAGAAATCTGCTTAGGAGTTGCTATTTTTTGTTTTGATGTTTCCCCCTTAATTCTTACATAAAATGTTTTAAGATAGGTTAACTCTCATGATAGTGGAGAACAGTTGTTTCAATTGAGTACTAATGGTAAAAATTTTGTTTTCTGATTAAAAGGTAGTCTGTGTTGTTAACAGGTAACATAATACATTTACTATGAACCTTAAGATAAATGCAAAGCGTAATAACAACACCATATTTGAATTTATTTGTTGATACGTATTTGAAAACTCTTCTGTCAGTGTTGCTACTGAGCTAGAGATTGCCAAAGCATAGGACCTCATTTGACAAAATGACTCAAAGCCCAGCACAAGTTTCTGGGAGACATTGGGTGTAGTAGGTTCATAGAACTCTTTGTTCACTCATTCGTTCAGTTTCTACTAAGTACTGGGCTCTGAAGATTAAAAAAAAAATGAATTTTTCAAACTAATTAAATAGACCCTGGCCTCAAAGCTCACATTCTATTAGGGATAATCACACATGAAAGTAGAAGATTATAATACAGTTGTAAATTCATAATAGAGGTAACCCATTTGAGTACCAAAGAGGAAAGGTTCCCAGATTGACTGGGAGGGATGAACGTCAGCAAAGGCTTGCTGGAGGAGTTGACACCTGAACTGAGTTTTAAAGGAGTGGGAAAGAAAACGTAGCGGTGGGTCAGAATGGTGTTCAGATACGGGACACAAACCGTGCATTAAGTGTACAGGAACTGTAAGCAAGTTGATTGTTGTTGCTTGTTGAGTAGACCTTCCTCCCCAGTGCTGTGTGAAGATGGATTTGAAGAGGAGAAGGCTGGGCGCAAGACACCAGTAAGACTGCTGCAGTGGGGGCAGTGAGTCATGGCCTAAACTGACAGTGTTACCAGCCACAGAGCGAGGGAGAACCAACCAACATTTATAATTCACATCAATCTTTAGTGACTGACTGAATACACCGGCTGATGGAGGAGGAGAAAGCATCAAGGATGACTCTCGGGTTTCTAGTTCACTCTAGTACCAGAGACAATACAGGGGGAAGAGCAGCTCCAGGGAGAAAAATATGTTGCATTTCAACATGATGAGTTTGAGGTACCAGTGGGTCACATCCAGGTGGATATGTACAGTGGGAAGTTGGGCTTGAGTTTGAGGCTCAGGCAAGAGGCTAGAGTTACACATTTGGCGGTCCTCAGCATAACAAAACTGTGGCATCTGAGTGCGGAAAGGTAACTGACCTGTTGTTTTGGGGCTCTGTATATAGAACCTTGTCATCCCATCAGGCCCATATTGTTTTTCTTGGGCCACTGAGACACGGTTGCCCCTCTCCACTCCTATTTCCTTAGAACATCTGTGATGTGAAATATTCCCAGTCCTATCATTTCTCCCTGTGCTGAGAAGTAATTACATATGGCACTTACTATATCTTCACATATAGCACTCATGGCCAGGTTTTGTAGATAGTAGGTTATCAATGAATGTTCATCTTCATTGCTTATATTCATCTGGCTCTGTATACAAAATTTGCTCCATTTTTTTCTTGCAGGAACTTCTTTCTTGATTCTCAAGTTAAATTTCTAAGACAACTTCAAGGTTAAGTGTAGTGGACAGTACCTGAAAGGTAGGTTTCTTCCATTCATCCAGATTAAATCATTCCTTTGTTATCACCACACATTGCTTGTTGTGGTTTGAAAACAACCATTTCTCTTCTTAGGGAAGGACCATGGCGTTTCTTGAGTCAAGGTCCCACAGAGGGAGTTAACAGAGTTGCAGTAACCTGGCATGAGTAATCCCTGATTCCAGGTGATGATGGGGGTTGTGTTTCACATTTTGCTTTATTTGACAAATATGTGAAAGACAGTCACTAAAAATAAGAACAGACCAGGCTTTGTTGCAGCTGAGTGGCTTGGCAAATCACTATACAGAGGAATCTTAGGACATGAAGGATTTGATACTGGGATAGAATCCAGTTGCCCTCTGAAGGGAAGTAAAATATCCTTTTTAAGAGCACTGAAGTTCTGGGATTTTTCTGGAATAACCACCTTTGTGAGGTATGGAACGTGTCCAGGGACCGTAACCTGAGAGGAAACAAAAAACAATCATCTGAGTGATTTCAGATGTTAAGCGGTGCCAACACTAAAAACACTGACATCCACCACTAAAATGTGGCCTTTATGAAACACATAACCAGCTGCCAGGCCTTCCAGGTTAGTAACAGCTTCAGGCCGACTCACTGAATGAGTTGTCCGATGCCTGTTGTCCAGAGTTGTGAAGTGAAATAAAGACAGGTCCCTTATCTGGAGATGTATCCTAGGAGAGGGAAGCCATAGACTGATTCTCTCCCCATCGTTTTTATGGAGAGCAAAGGTAAAGAATTGACTGTTTTCCTTTGTTCCGAGTCTGTACTTAAAATCCTGATTGGGTATCAAGAATATTTATAAGTGGAATTCTGTTCTCAATTTATTCTATTTTCCTTGCAGCTGATCCAGTGTACAAGTTTACTGCTTCCTCAAAGGCTGATTTTACCTGGCTTTCTCTCCGAGTCTAAATCTTAAGCTAGATTTATTGACTGACTGACTGACTGATTGATTGATTTTGGTGGAAGAAATCAGGAAAAATAGGACAAATGCTAAACTAACTACAGATGATGTCCACAGAGAAATACTTTTTTAAAAAAAGATTTTATTTATTTGACAGAGCGCGAGCGAGCGTGAGTGGCACCAGTGCGGGGGTGGGGGTGCAGAATGAGAGGGAGAAGTAGGCTCTCCATTGAGCAGGGAGCCCAACATGGGGGCTCAATTGCAGGAGCCCGGGATCATGACCTGAGCTGAAGGCAGACGCTTAACCAACTGAGCCACCCAGGCGCCCCTGAGAAATAGTTTTATTATATATGGAGAAGGAGAATAATGGGGGAAAACCATTTACATAAGCACCAGTTGGTATATATTTTAGTCATTCATTTCAGCTTCCAAAGTCTTGCCTTCCAACCTTGTCCTAGAATTAGAGGCTAAAGCCAACAGGTACTATGGTAGTCTAAAGGGAAATGAACAATTCATAATTTTATAAAGGTGTGCCTTATTTTTGGCATTACATAAAAATAATTTAGATTCATTACAAAGACACCCACACACACACACACACACACGTGTTTTCATGGAATGGAAATGTCACTGTAACAGGAAAATAAAGAGCCTTTTTAGGCAAAAATTCACAGTGAATTGAGGTCTTTCCAGTTCTAGAAGAGATTCTTAAGAAGATTAGCAGTTGATGGGCCCCCTTGCTGGGCTCTGTGGGACTAACCTATGGAACAGAGAAGCTCTGAATCCTACAGTTTCATGAATTGAAAAGCATGCCTTTCATTATTTCACCTTTAGGGTATAACAGAATGCAAAGCCAGTTTTTACTACTGAGTAGATGACCACCTTTTCCCAGGAGTCACTCTATACGGAATGACTGCTTGTAGCTGGCATCAGACCCACTAAGCAAAGCAGAAGAATCTTGAGAGTTAGAGAGAGTCGTATCAAGGAGAAAGAGGCACAATCTGGCCAACTAAATCAGGTACTTTTTCATTTAGTTCATTCACATGCATCTGTTTGGGCTCAAACTAGTCCAAGCCTCCCTTTAGGAATAAATGACTCAGACATCTTCTAGAATTAAACCTGGAACTTTACATGCATTGATTGGAACTCACCATCATTTGCTTATGGAAGGGCTGCAAAATATGTCTATTACTAGCTTTATATAGTGGTAAAATTTGTGGATCAAATTTTTATAATGAATTCTAAGGAACTTGTGTCCCAGTCCATTTTTTAATAGCAGAAATTATGTCTCATGAAATGGGCATTGAAATGGTATTCCATGAAGCTTGGAAGTACTTTGACTCCCATTGTTTAATTATTCTTATTAATAATAAGGTTCATTCCATCTTTTATCATAGGACATGTCACAAGAAATAGGTTTGGGCTTCTTTTAAAAACACTGCCAGTTGGGAAAAAACATGATTTGTTTGGTATGTTCCTATTATTTCCACCTCTCCCACTCCCTGCCAAATGCAAGTCTGTTGATGACCTTTCCTTCTGTCCTGGTGTATCTACTTTTGGGACTTTCCAGACTTATTTTGGATTCCTTCTGGGTAACTACTGCAAGTTCTAAAATGTTTTAATAACCATAACGAGGGCTGTATACTTACATTTATTACATAGGACCCAGGCAAGAGAAGAAGATAATACTCTCCAAATTTGTTGGTTCTATAAGGGCAGATATGTTTTCTGTCTTGGACTTCTACAATTACATTGGGTAATGGATTCCCATTCTGATCAAAAACTTGACCCTTTATACCTGCAAGACAAAAAGAACACTAAATGTTAACACTACATTTTATGATGTATGAAAAAGAATTCTTGTAGTTATTTAAGAAAAATACACCCAATATTTATTAAGCTGTTTGGATGATAATAAAAGGGGCGCCTGGGTGGCTCAGTCGGTTAAGCGACTGCCTTCGGCTCAGGTCATGATCCTGGAGTCCCGGGATCGAGTCCCGCATCGGGCTCCCTGCTCAGCAGGGAGTCTGCTGCTCCCTCTGACCCTCTTCCCTCTCGTGCTCTCTCTCATTCTCTCTCTCTCAAACAAATAAATAAATAATCTTTAAAAAATAATAAGTATTTAAGGGAAGGTAAACCTTCCCAAAAATTGAGATATAATTGTCATATAGCATTAGTTTCAAATGTACAACATAGTGATTTGATATATTTGTGAAATGATCACAATATATCTAGTTAACATAGTTCAAGATTTTTTCTTGTTGAGTTTTTATAAGTGGATGTTAAATTTTGTTAAATGGTTTTTTTCTGCATCTATTGGGATGATCATATTATTTTTATCTTTCATATTTTGTTAATGTGGTATATTACTCTGATTTTGCAGATGTCGAACCATCCTTGCATCCCTGGATTAAATCCCACTAGATCAAGGAAGGTCCTTTTAATGTATTGTTGAAGTTGATTTGCTAATACTTTGTTGGAGGAGTTTTGCATCTATGTTCATCAGGGATATTGGCTTGTAATTTTCTTGTAGTGTCATGGTTTTGCTATCAGGGTAATGCTGGCCTTGTAAAATGAGTTTGAGAGCATTCTTTTCTGTTTTTTGGAAGAGTCTGAGGACTGGTATTAATTCTTCTTTAAATGGTAAAATTCACCAGTGGAGCCATCTAGTCTTGGGCTTTTGTTTGAATTAGTAATCAAAAACATGCCAAAAATCTCCTTACTGGTAAAAGGTCTGTTCAGATTTTCTTTTTTTCATGATTCAGTCTTGGTAGGTGTATGCTTCTATGGATTTAACTATCATCTAGGTTGTCCACTTTTTTGGTGTATAATTGTTTAGTCTTTTATGATCCTTTGCATTTCTGTGGTATCAGTTGCAACATCTCTTTCATTTCTGATTTTGAGTTCTTGCTCTTTTTATCTTGGTGAGTCTAGCTAAAGGCTTATCTTTTCAAATAACCAGCTCTTAGTTTTATTTTTTTTTCTATTGTCTTTTTAGTTTCTATTTCATTTATTTCTGTTGTTTCTTCCTTCTCCTAACTTTGGGCTTATTTTGTTCTTTTTTTAGTTCATTGAGGTGTAAAGTTAGGTTGAGATTTTTTTTTTTTTTTAATTTTAATTCCAGTATAGTTAACAGTGTTGTATTAGATTCAGGTGTACAGTATAGTGATTCAACAATTCTGTGAGATCTCTGTTTAATTGTAGGCATTTATCCCTCTGAACTTCTCTCTTAGAACTGCTTTTTTTGCATCCCATAAGTTTTGGTATGTTGTATTTTCATTTCATTCATTTCAAGATTTTGATCTCTTTTGACCTACTGGTTGTGCAGTAGCATGTTGTTTCATCTCTGAATATTTGTGAATTTTCCAATTTTCTTCTAGTAATTGATTTCTAGTTTTATACCACCAAGGTTGGAAAAGATGATAAGATTTTATTTATTTATTTATTTATTTATTTATTTATTTATTTATTTGACAGGGCATGAGCACAAGTAGGCAGAGCAGCAGGCAGAGGGAGAGGGAGAAGCAGGCTCCCTGCTGAGCAAGGAGTCTGGCATGGGGCTCAATCCCAGGACCCTGTGATCATGACCTGAGCTGAAGGCAGATGCTTAACCAAGTGAGCCACACAGGCACCCCAGCCTTTGTAAATTTTTTCCATGTGCACTTGAAGAAAATGTGTATTCTGCTGCTGTTGGTTGGAATGCTCTGTATATGTTAAGTACCATTTTCTGTTTGGATGACCTATCCATTGATGAAAGTGATTTATTAAAGCCCCTTACTGTTATTATATTGCTGTCTATTTTCCCCTTTAGGTCTGTTAAGATTTGCTTTATATAGTTAAGTACTCCTATGTTAGATCATTTTGTTGGATTGACTCCTTCATAATTCTATAATAACCTTGTTTCTTATTAGTCTTTGTCTTAAAGTCTGTTTTGTCTGATATAAGTATAGCTATCCCAGCTTTTTTGGTTTCCATTTGCATGGAATATCTTTTCCACCTCTTCACTTTCAGTCTGTGTGTGTCTGAAGTGAGTCTCCTGCAGGAAACATACATAGATGGGTCTTATGGTTTATTTATTTTTACTTATTTTTTTTAATTGATCCAGCCACTCTCTTTTTATTGGAGAATTTAGTCCATTTACTTTTAAAGTAATTACTGATACGTATGTACTTAGTGCCATTTTGATAATTGCTTTCTGGCTGGTTTGTAATTCCTTTGTTCTCTTCCTTTGCTATCTGTTGGTTTTCTAAAGTGGTATGCTTAGATTCCTTCATCTTTTTTTATGTATAGGTTTTTGCTTTCTGGTTACCTTGACACTTACATAAAACTAACAGTCTATTTTAAGTTTATAATATGATTGCCTTCTAAACCTTTGCATGTTTACTCCCTCCTGCCCATATTTTACATCTTGTTATCTTGTGTATCCATTAACAAATTATTGTAGTTATAGTTATTTTTGCTACTTTGTCTTTTAACCTTCATAATAGTTTTATAAGTGATTAACCACTATCTTTACATTAGACTCTTCTGAATTTTATTAAAGATTTACCTTTACCAGTGAGTTTTTGTATTACTAATTAGTACCCTTTCATTTCAGCCTGAAGAAGTTCCTTTAAACTTTCTTGTAAGGCTGGTCTAGTGGCGATGAACTCCTTAATTTTTGCTTGTCTAGAAAATCCTTTCTCTTTCAGTTCTGAAGGACAGCTTTGCCATATATTCTTGGTTGGGGGTTCTTTCTTTCAGCACTTCGAATATACTGTGCAACGCCGTTCTGGCTTGCAAAGTTTCTGCTGAAAAAAATCTGATAATATGGGAATTCCCTTGTATGTAACAAGTTGTTTTTCTCTTGCTACTTTTCAGACTCCCTGTCTTCAACTTCTGACACTTTGATTATAATGTGTCTTAGTGCGGGTCTGCGTTCATCTTAATTTGGTACTCTCTGGCCCTCCTGGATCTGGAGGTCTTTTTCCTTGCCCAGGTTAGGGAACTCTTCAGCCATTATTCATTAAGTTTTCTGTCCCTTTCTCTCTTCTTCTGGGACCCCTGCAGTGCGAATGTTGGTATGCCCGATGTTGTCCCCTAAGTCCCTTGAGCTGTCTCCACTCTACTGCATTCTTTCCCTTTTGCTGCTCTGATTGGATTAGTTCCGATGCCGTTTTCAAGTTCACTGATTTTTCTGCTTCATCTAGTCTGATGTTGAGTCTGTTGTATTTTTCAGTTCTATTACTGTATTCTTCAGCTGTGTGACTTCTATTTGGTGGTGTCTTGTAATACCTCTTTGCTGAAATTCTCATTTTGTTCATGCATTGTTCTCCTGAGCTCAGGGAGCATGTTTATGGTCATTATTTGAACTCTTTATCAGGTAAATCACTTACCTCTGTTTCAGTAAGGTCTTTTTTAAGGCTTTACCTTATTTTTTTGTTTGGAATATATTGCTCTGTTTCTTCACTTTCTTTGACTCTGTGTTGGTTTCTATACATTAGGTAAAACACCTACATCTTCCAGTCCTGGAGGAGTGGTCTTTTGTAGATGAACCTTATCATTCAACTCTGCCCTAGCTCGTGGTTGTTTCTCAAACCTGATTGTCTAAGCAGCCTACTTTATTCTTAGTAGTTCCCAGTAGTTGAGGTTGTGCCAAGACCTATCAGTACCTAGATTCAGGCTGATTGTATTCCAGACCCTCAGGCAGAGGCTTTTAAAGGATGCAAATAAATCTCTTTCGGGGGAGGACTGGGGGATGGATGGGTCTCCCTGTTCCCTTTACACTGAGCCCTGGGGTGAGAGCCAGTTAAGAACCGTTTGTTTGCTAGTGTCCTGTTGGAGCCATGAACACAAACCCCACTTAGGCTACCAGAGCTACTAAGCGGTATCCCCTGGATGGTAGCCCCCAAAACTGGGGCACCGGATGCATGCATAGATTCCCTTTTGGGAGAGACTGGTGAGCTGGAGGGAGGGAGAGTGCAAACGTGTCTGCCAGCTTCCTTTTTTTTTTTTTTTTTAATGTTTTTATTTATTTATTTGACAGAGAGAGACAGCGAGAGCAGGAACACAAGCAGGGGGAGTGGGAGAGGGAGAAGCAGGCTTCCCGCTGAGCAGGGAGCCCCATGTGGGACTTGATCCCAGGACCCTGGGATCATGACCTGAGCCGAAGGCAGACGCTTAACGACTGAGCCACCTAGGCGCCCTGTCAGCTTCCATCTTTGGAGAGTATTTCAGTAGACCCCTAGATGTGTGTTAAATTAGATGCCTGCCCCTCAGGTCAAAGCTTTAAGACCAGCAAATAGGCCTTTTTCAGAGAAAAACTGGGCATCTTTCAGTTGGCTGGCTCTGCACTGGGCCCTGGCAGGCAGCCAAGTGCACCTGTGCGGACCCTTTAAGAACTATCTCCCAGTTTGAGGGTCTTGTGGATGCAAGCCCCGTGGCTTTCAAAGCTAGGTGTTTTCAGGGATTGTTTCTTGGGTAGCTTGTAAAAGTTGGGGTGCCAGATGTGGGGTTCAAACCTTTTGCTGCTCAGGGAGAAGTTTGGAGTTGTGAGTTCCTTCGATGTGGGTTGCTGCAACAGGGATGGGGTGTATGGCAGGATCGTGTCTCAACCTCTCCTACTCGTTGCAATATAGGTTTATTCTCATTCGCCCAATGTGTAGGAATGGCTCAGGTAGTTTTTGGGTTTCCATATGTAGCTATAGATTCGGTGTGTCTGTGGGAGGGGATGAATTCAGGATCCTCCTACGTTGCCATCTTGAACCAGAACTTGGTAAACTTATTTTTGATGTAACTTAAAATACAGTCAAGCTAACAATCAGATTTATAGGCTAAATTTGTTTATTGTCAAATATTCCATTTATGGCACCTAGTATCAAAATGAGAACACAGATGACAACCTAAATCCATTGCTATCTTTTCCAAGTTGCTTACTCAGTTACCAAACTACTACAACATTGTCCTCGGTAGATTCCACTAAATCCTAAACTAAAAAATGCCAGTGTATTTACAAAAAGCAGGGGAGGTGGGGGCGCCTGGCTGGCCCAGGCAGTGGAGCATGACTCTTGATCTCGGGGTCATGAGTTCGAGCCCCTATGTTGGGTGTAGAGATTAGTTAAAAAAAAAATGCCAGTGTATTAATTTACAATAAGATACTTACCTATGCAAGGGCCTCAATAGTTTTGTCTCATGGTCAGACTAGATGGGAAACAATTATAATCACAAGATTGCTTGGGATCATGGGATTGGTTAATGGTGTCTTATTACTAATAACAGGAGTGAACGTTTACTGTTAGTATATTTCAGGCTCTATGGCAAATGCTTAACGTGCATGTTCTCATTGAATCCTCACATCAACTCTATCATGCAGGCAATACTGTCACACTTTTACAGAGGAGGAAACTAAGGCTTTGGGTTATTACATAACCTTAAGCTCCTACAGCCTGGCTGTAAATCCACACTAGTCTCCAGGGCCCACACTGAACCTGACACCATACCCCTCACCTCAAAATTTCAGGAGTACAGTTAAGAAAAGGTCATTTTAAATGTTATACTTCACCTTCCAGTGTGTTCACTCAGTGACATATCATCTTAATGACATGAGAAGAAGCCACAAGGAAAAAATGACCCTGAACTCTTCCCAGAACATTTTACTTAGTAATTATTCACTGGAGCAGAAAGATAACACAGCATAATTATAGTTCCTTCAGAAAAGTTTAAAATGAAATGTAAAATTTTGACACTTAGCAACAAAATCTTTGTCTTGAACATTAAGCAAACTTCTGCTTGACCCAAGTTGCCTTTCACTTTCCTAATTCTCGACTCTTCATTCCCCCCACCCCGAGAAGAAATTACTAAATGCCGTATTTCCTTCTCACATGTTCGACAGCAGCTGTGAACCTTTAGTTTCAGGTAATTTGTTCTTCTGCCTCTTCTAAAAGTTTCATTTATATTTATTCCCATTACTTGGTATGTATCCTTTTGATCTTTATAGGTAGGATCCAACTATAAACATCAGTCATGACTTAGTAACCCAATTATGCATTTATTCATTGGGTATCAGTGGCATTATTCTTTGAAGAGATATTCCCCTCATGCCCTTCAGGTCTTCTGACACATTAGGTAAGTACAGATAGGTACCAGTCAGGCTCAGTGTAAATCCCAGGTCACTAAACATTCCCAGATTCAGTTTCATCACCTGTAAAATGGAAGTGATATGTACCACTTTCCAGGCCTTTCCTTCCCAGACAAGGTAAGCCAGAGACAGCCAGAGACTTGCAGATGGGTCCAAGTCTCAGATGCATCTTAGCAAGTGGTGAGGCAAAGCCACTGAACGCAACACCGCTTCATAAATATCAGTTCCTTAAACCACAGCAAAACCAGCAAGAAGGTTTGCTCCCATCATCCCCAAGCAAAGACAGTCTTTGGCTTCCTACTACACACTGAAATGGAGAGAACCTATCAAGTGACAATAACCACACTATTAGTGTTTTGAAATTGGGTTTCATTATTAAATTAGAAAAAAAAAAAGCCAGTCTTAAACCACAAGGGGGCAGGGTTGATGTGCTTATATATATATTTTTAAGTAGGTTGTGCATACCTGATTATAGGGATAGGCAGATGAATATTCTTTATAAAACCTATGGACTTGTAAGCCCTCCAAATTAGTAATAGTCATGCTACAACGTGCACGTTACTTAACAGTTTACAAAGCTCCTTCATGGGCATTATTAGGTCAGCATGACACTTCAGAGCCCACCTTAATTCAGTGCTTGGAAAATAACCTTTACAGCTAGACTGAAATTCCGAAAATAGTGCAGTTATGTGGAGCATATTTCTTGTTCAGCTGCACTCCCATGTTGATGCTGATGGAGAAATTTTACAATAGGCAGAGTAACACTAAATAAGGAACTACAATAGAAAGGCTAAATTACTATGTGCCTCATGAGGAAAATCTAGTAGCAAAATACCAGAATGTTAATTGAGAGGACCCAATAATCTTAGTAAATGCTAAGATGCTGATGAAAAATGACTTCTTTAACATCGCTTATCACAGGGAATCGGCCTACTTCATACATGTCTCAGCCCTGTGAATTCACCAATAATCTTTGTGCACCTGTGCTGTGGGGGGTGCTGGAGGTTGGGGGGAGAGCTATGAAAGGGGGGAGGGGCATATATGGGGCCACAGGAAGCTCTTAATTATCCTTGCACTCAGCCCTGGACCCCCTGTGTGTCTGACTCTTCCCTCCATCTCGCTAGCAGGTGGAAAGCTTTGGGGTAATTACAGGAATAGTGCAGCTATGCAGCAGGCCTATAATGCAACCCCTCATCGGCACAAACCCACACCTACTTTAGCGTGACATGGTAGTCTAATTACTGTGCCAATTTCTGAAGCCCTTCTGAAGGGAGAGAAAGAACTTAAACCCTGGCAATGCAGAGAGGCTTCCATCCCCCACCCACAGAGACGCAGCCTGGCTAAAGAAGCTTAAACTGCATGACTCCATCACCGTCACAAGCACTGAGTTTCTCTGCTACGGTGGTTTTCAGAGCGTGGTCCCTGGACCAGCAGCACCAGCATCTCCTTGCGGAAGATGCACCATTCAAGATTCACTAAATCAAACTCCGGGGCTGGGGCCTGGAAATCTGTGTTTTCACCAGCCCTCCAGGGAGTCTGCTGTACAGGTTTGAGAACTATCACTCTTGCCCGGTTAGTCTGTCCACCTGTGATAAAGGCTAGACAGCTGTCAGAAGACCAGCCTGGGAAGACTTCCAGGACCAGGTAGGTCATTTGGCAGAGTTGCAGGGTGTGAGGGGTTTGAAGCTAATGGTGCTAGGTCAGCATCCCAGTACTAAGAAAAAGGCAAAATGGCATGTCCAGTGTTCTCTGCATCTATGATATTGTGTGACAAGTGACAAGCAAACTGGGCATTTCCTAGATGGGGAATGATTTAACAGACTAATGACTTGTTTTCCTGGAACTTTTGTGAGATTTCCACATGAAAAATTGGAAGTACTCTGGATTTTGCACCCCCATATTAAAGTAACATACATCATGCTTTCTCTTCTATGAACTGATGGGCACTGCATTTCTCACGTGCTGCGGATATTCATGCAGAGAAAATTCTTAATTGTTAGTTCCGGTACTCAAAATGAGGCTCTACCAGGAAAACAAATAGGGGCTTGCATTCTCTCAACCCAAAGGTTTTGCTAGATGCTATGTTTTGTGTTAATAGGAATAAAAAAATCTTACAAACCTAGGTGAACCTGTTTTATATATTCAATCAATGAGGCCTTGTTTTTATTCCAGAAGAATGGAAGCTTCTCCTCATGAGGATATTTACAGCATGACAGCTCCAACGTAATTTCAAAACACTGGGCCCAGATGTAGTTGTAATCTTGCATTCCACCTAAACACAAACATATTTAATTTTTTAAGGTCTAAAATTGGAATGGAGTCAAGTATCATGTATCTTGGGGACAAGTGAATCAGACAGCTGCAAGGAAAGTACATGTAAACAGGAAAAGACGAATTTGACATATTAGCATATAAACTCAGGGCTTGACGTTTTATCACCCAGGCATGAACAGGCAGTCCTAAATACTCCCATATGGGTAACTGGATCAGAGCAGGCCCAAGTTCAACTGTGCAACCAAGGGGGAGGGGAAGGGTCAGTCCTTTTTTGTCAATCATACTTTACAAAAAGGATTCATCAGTGTACATTTCTTCTGTAAATTACATTCTAAACAGATACGGAATGATACTTCTAAAAAATTGTTTACAAACCATTCATAAATACATAATGTAAAGCTAAGTACACTCATTGGGAGAATAATGGCTAACGTTCAGTGGGCGTTTGCTATGACTGGGGAACCATTTGAAGAGCCGGTCACGGCAGTGACCCCCCCCCATCTCAGAGACGAGACAATCCCAGAGGGTAAGTAACATGCACGTGAGTGCACAGCCCAGCGCAGACTGTCCTGCTCAAGGCCCTGTGCTCCTGCCCGCGACACCAAGATGCTTCAGGAATGAAAGAGAGGGGGCCGGGGCCAGCTCTCGGGACAGAAGGGACCCACGCCCCCTTCTGAGGCCACCAGTGCCCATGCTCACCTCCCAGTTCTCACCTCTGGAGACCCTATTTTCAAAGGGCTATAGTCCCATTTTGTATTTTCTCAGATGCAAAACTTCATATTTTAAAATCTGAATTGGGAGGGGTCTTAAACTTGATGGCTGAAAAACATGTCATTAGATTGGCCAGGAACATTTTTGTTTCTTCCTTAGTGGTACAGTGTATTTTATAATCAGTGGCATCTTGGATTTGATGAAATACGGTAACTTTGAAGGAAGTACTTTCTGCCGGATTTTGTTACACTTGATATCTGCCTAATATGTATTCTCAATTCTGTCGGGGTATTTGGGAAGTACTGAATTAGGAAAAAACCTCATTTTAAGAAAATAGTCAAAATATATCAAAATATTAAGTAATATCTATGTAGGTCTACATTCTAGCAGGAAGAATTCCTCTGTCCTTTGTATTTACTCGCCTTCTAAGTTTTGTATTTCTCTCTGACCTTGTTTTCACCAAGAAATAAAAGAAAGAAACAAAACCGAAGTCCTGGGTTGGATGGCTCTCAGGCAGAAAGAACTGAAACGGCAGAACAGGCGTACAAAGCGTGCAGGAATGGGGCTGCTAAGCGTGGAGTGTGTGCGCAGCTCTGGATAATGCAACTCAGGCCTGGTGGACAAAACCTCCAGACCGAGCCGGAATGCTCTGTTCTAAGCTCCTCAAAGTAGCGGGCTCTGCCTGCCTTTCTTCTCGGGGTACACCGCTTCTCGACAGCCACGTTAGCTTCCTGGCTCATTCCCCACACATCTGGAACTGCCTTGAAGGTTACAGATGGCCCATGAGGGACAGCTCTGCCCTGGGGCAGGAGGGAGCCCTTGGCTGCCTGTGAAGAGTGAGGAGCAGGGCGTGGGCCTGTATCGGGGACAACAGAGAGGAGTGTGGGGTGCTGCGGTGTCTAGCTGGCCCTGCTGCTTACATCACCTGGGAAGCTGGCAGAGACCGGAAAGTACCAGCCCATGCAACAGGACGGCAGAGCCTGTACCTCCCAGTGACACCTGGGAAAGGGGCCCGCGTGCCGCAACGCAGCCTACTGCTCCCTGCGGGCAGGATCGGGTGAACCAGTGTCACGGGGCGGGGGGGGGGGCACCTTCCACCACTGAGGCCCAGTCCCTGCCCACCCTCTCCCCGCCGGTCTTCTGCCCTAGGGCCCTCCTGCTCGTTCAGGCTCCCGACAAACCCGAGTTGTCCTACACCCCTGGGCTTGCTTACGTGATTCCTTTTATAAGAACAGCCCCCTCCCCCCAATCCCGTGGCCCTACATAGCAGTCTCCTAACCCCCTCCCTCACCTGGCCGTCCTGGTCCAAGGGCAGAAAACCGGACCCTCCCCCCACCCACCGCCTCATATCTAGCTGGAAAAGCGTTCTTGTTCAGCTTGCAAAGTGGCTTTAAAAATCATGATACCTCACGTACAAGTTCAGCTTGTTTTACAAACTGGGCGATCTGGCGATATTTGGATCTCCCGGGCGCGTGGCCATAAGTAGCTGGATTAGCAGGGGTTCCTGGTCGATGTGACCTAAGCATTACATTTCTCCAGGGTCTTCTCCACTCCCTGTTGTACTCTGGCTTTCTACCTCTCGGGCACACTACCTTTTCCAAACCTCCCATTTTTATTCTAATTACAGTGCCACCACAGTTACTTGCGTGCTGCTCTTCCCTATTAAGCCTGAGGGTAGGGGCTGTGTCCTGTTCAGCTTTCTTGGCAAAGTTCCTGGCTCATCGTAGGCAAATGCTGAGCGAGCATCTGAGCAGCTCTCCGGCCATCACTCCCCAGTGCTTCCGGGCCATGAGCTGACAGAAACACGACTAAAGGATGGCACCGTGCTGAACAAATCTGGACAACTACTGGGGCCAACAAAAGCCAGTGGCACCTCTGGATGAAGGCAATAGGAGAATGCTAGAAGGGAAGAGAAACTGACCTTTGAGTGGATACCAGGAGTAGCCATTTGTGATTCCATTAGGAAAGTTCATTTTGTTTTTACACTGGTCTCCTTTCTTCATGGTGGGATTTCTTGAAGCGTAGGTATGTGCAAGGTGTTGAAAAACATCGTCGTCAGGGGTTAAGCTACGGGAGTGTAACGTCCCAGTTGCTGTGTGTGAAAAACAAACCAAGACCTTTCTGTTGGTGTCGGAGTACAAATACTTGGAAACGCGTGGCGCCGTGTTACTAAACACGCCACCGCATCACATGCAAAGACCCTGCTTTTCCAGAGGGACACGTGTCCACTTCCACAAGGGCTCCCCCTACCCTTTCTCCTCGTTTCTAATGAGCAGACACAGGGTGATACCACACAAAACAAACTAGATGCATATTCCAACTCCTCCTGTATCGGCTTACAAGGTAAATAGCCTCTTAGTCACTCTCACTCATTTCTGGAGGGTGGCAAGCCTTCCTTACATACTGTAGGGGTTAAATAAAGGCACTGCGCTCGTTTTAAGTCCTCATCCCACAGTTTTAAGAGGAGTCAAATGATTGCTCCTATGATTAGCAAAGAAAGGTAAGTTGTTCCGGTTTTATTTACTTTCAGGCATGTTGCCTCTTGTGGGGTATTCTAACCCGATTCTACTATTTTCCCGATGAATGTCAAATAATCCTGGGGGTCGCCAGGTCAGCCACCGTGCCCATCTGCAGTCTATAAATTGTAGGAAGAGTAGCTCAGAGGTGAGAAAACGAGGCTTTTCCATCCCTGGCCGCAAAGGGCAGAGGGCAGACTTCTTCCCCTCCCGAGGCCGACTCTGCAGTCCCACTGCGGGCTCAGGAAGCCCAGGCCGGGCGCTGTTTGCTCACCTGGAACACCGTTGTCAAATGGGTAACTGGCCACCAGGGCGCCGCCGTGGAGGTTTGCAGAGAGGACAAATGTCTCTGTTTTCAGCCATTCCATGACAGCCACAGTCTCAGGCTGCCTTGACACGTTATTAAATTCAAAAGCATCGGGGAAATTTCTATTCAGGTCATAGTAGTTATTATTTTCCCTTTAAAAGAAAGAATATTTTTGGGTTTACTGATGGTATGTGAGGAAGTGGACGCATGCAGTGTCTATCCCTTTGGTTTGGGCTCCGGGTGTTCTTCCAAATGTGAGCACAGGGAAGGTGGATGGTCGCCTGGGTAGCCTCAGAGGGCCACCCCTGGCATCCATGCACTCCCCAGCCCCTCCCGTGTGACTGGCTCTTACCAGGGGGGATCGTAGCTGTTGTGCTGTAAGCAGGGGTTTGACGAGTGTTTGCATTTCGGGGCTTTTGCTCTTGCAACACTCTCTCTGGGAAACCTGAGACTCCGGTGCTAACCCCGTGGAGAGTCCGCCCGGAGAAATGAGGAACCCAGGTGACAGCCAGAATTGAGACTCCAGACATGTCCCAGGCTGGTGGTCTCAGCCAGCCCCAGCTGAGGCTCCAGACAGGATGGTACAGAGATTGGCCAGCCTTGCTCTGGCTTGTCCAAATTCCTGACTTACAGAATTGAGAGTAAATAAAAAGGGTATGAATCCCTAAATTTGGGGATGGTTTGTTACATAGCAACTGATAACAGAAACAACAGGAACACACTACTTTATACAAATGTACTTCTGGAAAGTGGACTGGCCATATTTAAATACATTAGAAAAACCTAAAGTTGAAGGGAATCAATGGTGAGATTTTATTTATTTTTGGTAAAAGCAAACAAATGTTTGCCCAAATATAAATGTTAGACATTAGAGAAATGCTAAACTTCCTGAGGCACACTGCAACAAAATAAACTGTTTAAATCAGAAATACAAGACTCCCTCTTCTTTTTTTTTTAACGGCTTTTTTAGAGAGAGAGAGAGAGACCACAAATGGGGGGAGGGACAGAGAGAGAGAAGCAGACTCCCCGCTGAGCACAGAGCCCCACAAAGGGCTCCATCTCACGACCCTGATATCATGACCTGAGCCAAAATCAAGAGTCAGACACTTAACTGACTGAGCCACCCAGGCGCCCTGACTCCCTCTTCTTTTGTGGTTAGTTCTTGCACTGGCTTAATAAACTAACTGGTAATTACTGACGGCCCAGCTAGGCCCTGGAGATTTAACAGTGAGCAACATGGGTGACAGGATTCCTGCCCCCAGGGTAGCTTACAGATCTGTGTGGAGAGAGACACTGAACAAAAAATCAGACCTTAAAATTTGTGCCATGAAGGTATAAGTGGCAGGTGGTATGAACCAGGGGCCTAATATAGGACAGGTCATGGAGGGAGTCTCTGAGGAAACACTGTTTGGCAGTGAGAGGGGCGAGGAGTGGGAAGTGAGGTGTGCCTGTGCCTGAGGCGAGAGAGAACCGGGTCGGTCCAGGAGATGGAGGAGACTCCGAGGGGCTGGGGCAGGGTGAGCGAGTGCGAGCAGTAGGGCGGGCACGGGAGTAAAGCAGCCTTCTTTGGGATTTTACTTTTCGTCCTCAAAGCAGTGGCAGCCTGAAGAGTTTTCAGCATGGCAGTGACATGATCCAGGCTGAGCTGGTTCACTAACAAGGCCCCCGGGGTACTGTCTGATGGGGGGCCTTGTTGTTCTGAAAAGACGAGTCCATCCTCACCTTCCATTACTGTAAAAACAGTCAGGCTTTATGACCGCTTCAAATCCATCTGGGTTCATTGAAGGCAGGAAGTGTATCCGGGTGCTGGAGATTAAATTCGTGATTTCAAAGTCTTTTCCATCATTGGTTACGAGATGTTCAATTAAGTGGAGAAGGAGCTCCCGCCCGACAGTCTGTGTGTGTTAAAGACAAAACGGGATATTATTAGGTCAGAGGAAAATAGTCCCTAAAGCACAAATTCCCCCACGAGGGGCTCTACTACAGTTTGGTATTTGAAACCAAAACCAGTTGTGAGACCACGATTTCTCAAACACATGGCGGGGGGGGGTCTGGCAAGTGGCAATCAGTCACCAGCGCGCTGAAAACTCTCAGCGAAAATTACTTAGAAAGTTAATTTTGTTTTAAAGTACCCATCTGTGAAGAATTTACTTTTAAAAAAAAATTGAATTAGGTGGGATAAAGGTTATGCTCATTATGTTTCCAATTTGTTTCCCTTCCAAAATACTTCCCGGACTGGAAGGGCAGAGGCGGCGCTCGGGAGAGCAACGGGAGCGCGGCTCCGCGAGCATGCGCGGTGCGGCCGGACGCCATCGTGTGGGTCTCGGGGGACGGCAGGGGGACACCCACTGCATCAGACAATAGACAAATGTCGATTTTAATAGGGAAAAATTCAGGCTTGTAACAAGCACAACTTAAATAAGTTTCAGACTTTAATATCCCTATTTCCAAATTTCCCTCTTGCACACTTGTGCAATGTTTGCCCTATCTCCGTATTTCCGATTGCCACATTCTCGTGCTGCCGAAACTTGAGTCATTTGCACATCATTCTCGTAATTTTTTTTTGCCATATCTGCATATCATCTATATGACTGCTTATTTATATTTTCTTTAAATTGGCTCACTTTTTACTTACAGGAGAAATGAAAACCTTTGTGTCATTACCATTTTGCTAGACAGGTTTCTAATGTACACTGTTTAAAAAGCAGGACTATGAAAATAAAAATGGTCAGGTCCACCCACAATTATCTTATGTATCACCAGTGACTGGGAAACTGGAGACCTAGGAGAGATCTCGTTTTATAATTCTCAATGGTAAGGACTATTTTTTTTATTATTATTTTAAAAAGGTAATTCACACCTCAACCTTATTATAGAAAGATCTGACTAGGCTATATCAGCTTGTGTCTATAATCCTGGGTTCAAGGAATCTGCTTCTGGGTAAGGAATGCTGGCCTCTCACCCATGGTCAGATGCTGCTGAGGGGTTAGTCACTGGGAACTCTAGGGCAGCGGCTGATCAAGGGCTGCGCTGTAGAGGCACTACTAAGGTAGGCAATGAGCAGGGCAGCGGTTTCCAATTACAGCTCCACCCTATGAATTCACTGCTGTGACAACGGATGAGCAATCCTTGAATGGTAATTTCTCACTTTATTCCCCCCACTGGCAAGGAAAGAAACCACATTTGATGAATTTGTTATCCTAATGAACATGGAATAATTGAAATGGGGACTAAGAAAATTTGGAATATGTCAATTACATATTCACAGGTAGCCATCAATTTCAGAGTGGAAATTCTGACTTCAATTTTTTTCCCTACTTATTTCTATCTTCTACTACCTTGATTTTTGTTTTTACAGTCAAAATTGTCAGCTTGTGGGACGCCTGGGTGGCTCAGTGGGTTAAGTGTCTGCCTTCAGTTCAGGTCACGATCCTGTGATGGAGCCTCACATCAGGCTCCCTGCTCAGCAGGGAGTTTGCTTCTCCCTCTGCCTCTGCCCCCTGCTCATGCTCTCTCCCTCTCTCAAATAAAATCTTATAAAAAAAAAGTTGTCAGCTTGAAAAAGTCTTTACAGATAACCAAAAAAAGGCAAGTAAGCCACACACGAGGTTTCCAAGTGTCTGTTTTGGGAGCTCAAGCACTCTGGAAGCAGCCTCATGAGCTACTTGCTGGCCAGTGAAGGAGCTGCTGTGACTCTCACTTGTGAAAAGCTAATTTACACGTGGAAAGTGTAGTGATTTAAGGAGCATTCTGCCAAGGGCTTGGGGAGGAGGCAGTGACCAAGAGTCACTTGCAGCTCCTGAAATTTCTAAATGTTGGTTGGGACTGTCGGGCGGTTGGTTCAGTTAGAGGGATGAATCAGGAAGAAACTGAGGCCCATGTGAGCCCCCAGTCAAGTACAGAGGAGCCGCACCAGAATCCCCATGGGGCTCAAGATGTGCCTTTCCTTCAACTCTCTCAACTGAACAATCTCAAGCACACCACAACTCAAGACGTGAGTTGGCAAAGACACTCATCCAACTCAAAGCAAATGAAAACAAAGAGGAGTCAAGAAGCTGTGATTAAGCTATAGAATGAGACTGAGGAACTGTGGGAGAACAGGTACAGGACAGAATGGAAAAGTTAATGTTTATCACTGACAGAGGATGGGGGCTGGGGGACGGAAGTGTTCAGAGCAAGGGGTTAGAAAATTCTATCAAGAGCTAAAAACTATATATTTTCAATGATTACAATTTCCAAGTTTTCCCTCATTTTTTTTCTTGACTTTGGAAGAATCTTCCAATAATTTCTTATTTTGAGAAAATATTTATCAAGTTCACCGATTATTTTAGTTTCACTTCAATTTATCCTGTCCAAGCAAAATGAAATCTTGTACTTATTTAAGGGTAACATAGAATATGGCACCCATTTTATGTTATATCCTTTTAATCCTTCTCATTCTCTTCCTACAGAAATCCACAGATGTCTAGAATGATGTGTGGCAGATATTAATGATGGTTATTTCTTTTTTTTTAAAGATTTTATTTATTTATTTGAGAGAGAGAGAATGAGAGATAGAGAGCACAAGAGGGAAGAGGGTCAAGAGGGAGAAGCAGACTCACTGCTGAGCAGGGAGCCCGACGCGGGACTCGATCCCGGGATCCAGGATCATGACCTGAGCCGAAGGCAGTCGCCCAACCGACTGAGCCACCCAGGCGCCCAGTGATGGTTATTTCTAAGTGATAGTATTTTGAATGATTTTTATTCCTTTTATTTTTCTGGCTTTTTAAAGAAAACCTTTATTATTTTTACAAAACCAATAAAAATCATGATTCTTTCAAGTCAACAAATGTAGAACCAAGGTATTTTCTGTTTGTCTTCATATTCCAAAACAAATCACATGTCCTTAACTGCAGAGGATAAGTAAAAAATCTTGGAAATATGGTAAAGAACCAATTAAGAGTCAGATAATTTAAAAACTGCTGAGGTTAAACAGCTAAAATTTCAGGGAATTAAAATCCTCTCTTTTTGTTGGGCTATATTTTGCTGTCTTCGTAACAGCAGATTTATGCCAAATATTATTCAAATTAATTCTTCCCAACCTTAATATAAATGTTTCAAGCACTCATTCATGTTTTATGCATAAACCTCCCTTCTTTAAAACTAAGTCTTTGAATATGAAATCCCAGAGAGTCCAAATTTTAAAAAAGAACACAGTCAAAAAGACAACCAACAGAATGGGAGAAAATATTTGCAAATGACATATCAGATAAAGGGCTAGTATCCAAAATCTATAAAGAACTTATCAAACTC